CAGATGCATTTATATTTATAATTGCATATATATACACACATATAGATTTATTCCCATAGTTGGTGTATATTTCTATGTTTACTTGTAAATTGGGCACAAATATTTAATTTTCTCTATTTACTTGTTTTTTGCTTTGTCGTTTTGTGCTTTGCTCTGCACCGTTTTGGTATTCTGTTTTTTGCAGAAGAGAACAATATAATAAATGTTACATAAATTTATAATTTGCTATATGCTGACCACCCAATCAAGAGCCATATATTTCTCTATTTCCTGCTCTTGTTGGTCGCACTTTTTAATTTATTATATCTCCTTCTTTCAGAGTTAATTGGGGCTTTCTTTTTGATATTGGGAATTGTGTTTTTGTTTTGTTTTTTTTACTTTAATTGGACACTCTAGGTTATTTTTTCTTCTTTGTTTTTTGTCTATCTGTTGGAGGTTGATTTGTTTTGTTTATGTTTGTGTTTGTATGTTTATATTATTCTTGTTTTTCCTTTATCTGTATGCTCTTATTTTTAATGGTGTAGTCTGGTCTATTTAGGCAATGCCCACTTTGTATGACTGCGATGAATATGCGCCAAGATCTTCTACTCCCAGCAGTGAACCTGTTCCGTGTGTGTGTTTTTGTTGCTTCTGCAGCGTAATGTGAACTTTGTGCTGATGTTTGTACTTCTTCAGTGAGTGTTGAGTCTCTTTCTGATTCTAGTGTTGGCTGTGTGGATGGTAGTGGACTGCAGTCTGGATAGTTCTGTATGTTCCTTTGTGATGTGTGTAATTCCTGGTGTTTGTTTTTGGTGTTGATTTCTCTTTATTGGGTGTATTTGCAGTGTTCCTTTCTTGAATTACCCTCTACTGCTTTAGTAACATCCATTTCTTTCTCAGTCTCACCGCCATTCTATTGTTGAGATATCTCTCTGTGTGCTGACAGAAGACTGCTGCCTAATCCGTTGTACTGGTGTGGCTGATGAAAGGAGTTTCTCAATCCGTATTAATTGGTCCCCTTCAAGTATGGAAAGAAGAAGAGTTCATCCCAATGGATCCCGCCATTGGGTTCTCCCTCACTTGAATGAGTCGTGCCAACACCCACCCCAATAGTAGTGGAAGAGGTTTCACTATTCTCTCTCTCTCTCTTTCTCTCTCTGTGCACTCATATACATTTCTCTCTCATTGTGACTGCTTCTAGCAGCAGCCCATACACCTCTTCATCCTCCACTACGTTTAGGCAGCAGCGGCAGGAGTACCCATTATTATAAACTTGTATGGGGCAGCAGAGTGTACTTGTCCATGCCAGTAGGATCTCATCACAGCAGCAGAGTGAGAGGCACACCGTAAAGCTTAAGGAACATCGTCCATAACGATCAACGCAGCATTGGGAATGTTATCCCCAACCACCATAAAAAACAGTAATATCCACAAGCACCACCAAAAACACCAATGATCACCATGTGGAAGAAGTGCATCAACACAAAAATAACAACAACAAAAAGAAAAGGAGTATGAGATGGAGTTGCACAGGATTCATAGAGATACACTGAAGGTTTCCCAAAAGCACACTGCACTGCGTCAGGAACGAGATGAGCTTGAAACTTTGAAAGAATGGTGGAGAGCAAAGGCAGACGACGAAATAGAGGAAGAAGGTGATGATGATGATGATGATGAGTTTAGTCAAAACACTGATGTTGGATG